AGATACACCGAAGAAGACAAACTTACAAGAGAAATAAACTTAATTTTTTTTTTTGTCACAAGCCACCAAGAAGAAGCCTTAGGAGAACAATCTTCTTATTCTTCTTTCTGCCGCAAGAAACTACCGCTTACACTTCTCTTCCTCTGCCCCGAGGAAACCTTCCTCTATCCCGAGAAAACCGAAGAAGAACTCAAACCGCAACTTCTCAATTTTCAAGGAGAGCTGTCCGAAGTCTTTTATCGCGAACAGAAAGGATACGTCTCGACCATTCGCGTAACGGGAGCAGGAACAATTCGTGAATTGAAGGCGAGCGGGAGGGGTCGCAGTCTTTCGCGAAAGGGAGGCGGGAGCGGGATCGGGATCGCGCCTATTCGCGATCGAGCAGTGCGGGAGTGGAATCGACGTGGATTGGGCTCCAACACTTAACACGGTCGGTGGCGGTCGACAACGGTCAGCGACGATCAGAAGTGGTTGACGACAATAGGAGTGCTTGACGACGGTAGGCGATGGTCGACGACGGTCGACGGTGGCAATTTTGGTGTTGGACTTCAGTTTTTTCTCAAAGCTTAAAATTAATGCTCAAGCCTCAAGCTTTCCTCCCTCTTCATGAGATGAGTGGTGTCCTATTTAAAGAGTTTTTAATGCAATTAATTCATGAATGTAAATTACTTTAATCAAACAACTTAAGAGTGTTTCTCTCGATCAGACGACATTTGATGACTATTTGAGTGCATTAATGATGCTAGAATTGAGTTATCTTAGGCTCGTTGGATTTATCTTGTCAAGATGCTCGATTTGATTATAGAATAATCATAATTGACATTGGTTTGACCTTCCAAATGTGTCTAGAAAACTTTTAAAAGTGATTTAATTGTTTAATCTAGACTCAATTTGGTTCATATTATATCAATTTTACTAACATCGGGTTCTTTTAGTTGGGCCAATCAGTCTTATTATAAGTTAGTTGAAATCAAAGTCCTCGATGACATTTATCAAGATTTGAATATTTAGTGTTAAAAAAGTTATCTCGAGATCCATATCATATACCGATATTTGTTTCAGATGTTAAAATATAAAATTGATTAAAAAAGTATTTAAGATAATGTAATATAAAAAATTAAATTACTATTCATGTTTTATATTTATCCGCTTGAACTAAAATTTGTCATAACATTCACAAAATTTAATTTCAAATTCATAATCATGACACGTAGAATCCTCTTATATTTTTTTTCTCCTGAGAGTCAAAATCATGAAGAAAATTTACTTACATGCCACTAATTCTTATACATTTACATATCTGCCGCTTGACTTTTTATATTTATATTAATGCCACTCAATATATGCATTAAAAATCATTTCAGTTTGGAAAGGCCAACAATAATTGTACTTTTGGTATGACAAGTAGGGGTGTAAACGAGCCAGCGAGCCCAGGACAACTCGTGTTGGGCTCGTTTATATTTCGAGCTAAAAAAGTGTGTTCGTGTTCGACTTGTTTGCTTAGCGAGCCGAACAAGAGTCATTCACGAACAAAAGGTCATTTTGACAACCCTATTCACGTAGCCATCAGATGTTAAGGATTGAGGCAAGATTTAAAACATCATTTAAAAACATAATCTAATTTAATAAATTTTATTCTATTTTATTAATTAATACTTTTAATTGATTATAAATCTTTGTAGCCTTGTAGTCAATTAAATTTTTAAAAAAGACAACTCATCAAAGATATATATATATAATTGATTAGTAGTATTTCGAGTCAAAACGAGTCGAACACAAACGAACAAATATTTGTTCATGTTGTTCGTGTTCGACTCATTAACTTAGCGAACGAGCCGAACACGAGCTTCTTAACGAGCTGAACACGACTTGTTCACGAACAACGAATGGTTTTGACAGCCCTAATGACGAGAAACATCCGATTGTTAGAAATGTAATAATTAAAATGCAGGTGCTAGATATATAAATTAATAAGATTTGTGCTATTTATATAAATACCCCTCATGAAAATTCTCTCACATCACCATGCCGTCGTTGTGCGCTCCACTCCACGCCAACAAGAACACACCCGCTTTCTCTCTCTACCAACCTTTTATAATAAAATAATTAAAATTGAAAATAAAGATTTTATGGGGGGGAATAAAATAAATATTTTCCAGTCGTGCTTGTCAATCACATGACAGCGGAGCTCCAACCGCCGCTTCCAACTTCCCCAGAGAAAATTTCTTCCATCGGAATATTCTCCCAAATATTTAATTAAAATATATATCTAAATTATTATATTTATTTTATGATAGATATAATAAATGAGTTTTTATAAGTACCACTTTGACTGAAAGAAACATTTTATAAGATGGTGGCGAGACCTGCAGTGCTTTATGGCGCTGAATGTTGGCCTTTAGAAGAGAAGCAGAAAACTAAGTTAGGTGTTGCCGAGATGAGAATGCTTGGGCTGATGAGTAGCTTTACGTTTAGAGACAATGTGAAATGATTATATCCTTGATAGGGTTGGTGTAGTCCCAGTGGCGGACAAGATTAGAAAAAAATGTCTTAGATGGGTTGGTCGCATTAAACGTCGACATTTGGTGATCCTGTTAGGAGAATAGATATTTTAGATTCGACTTATGTTAAGAAACACAAACGTAAACTTAGAAATACTTGAGCATATTGTATAGAAAATGATATTAATTCATTAAAATTAAATGAAAATATGACACAATGGAGAAAAATGATTCGTGTAGTCGACCCCGCTTAGTGGAATAAAGTCTTGTTGTTGTACCAATGTGAGCTTATTGTTCAGCCGCCTTCTGGCTCAACCGACTAAGCTTAATTTATTTTAGGTCGATAGGGTAAGCTCGATTGACTGAGCTTGGTCGGTATGGATCGATCGACTAATCTAACTTGATTGACTGCCTTCCATCCCTAGTGAAGAGTCTTTGGAGTCACCGTAGAATAGTCAATGATGCTTTGTTGGACCGGATCTTCCTCTGGATTGGCTTTACTGGGGGACAAGCTATCATTTTGAGCCAGCTTATTTATAGTGGTTAGCTCAAATGCACTTTTATCTTATTTCTGACCAGATGACTCCTGTTTGGATCATATGGTCATCTTCTTATCAGTCTTGTGACTCAGTCAGTTTTAACCTAGTTAGTTTGGTTCGTATGGCTTTGCTCGTTCGGTCAAATGTGCCTCATAATCTCCTGAAAGTGGGTCAGCTTCTGTGGCACTATTCTCTTCCGAACTGTCAGATCCCTTTAAGATCAATGAAGCCACTTTTTTTATTTGAATATGAAATTGTCTGTGAATCACACCCAATAAATATAGCATAATTGAAGAGAGAGACGCAGAGAGAGCTTTAATAAATAGTGATAAACCGCGACCTCTTCATAAAATGATTATCCTATTTATAGAGGAGATAATACATTAGTGATATTACATTTTACCCCCATTTGGCAGGGGTTCATACTAGGATATTTTAGGTATTTTACAAATGCAAGTTTATCGTTCAACAATCTTTTAGCTCAATCGGGTAAATTTAGTTGACTTCGGGTCAACGACATAAGCTCGGTCGGTTGAGCTTGGTAAGTATAGTTTGATTAGTTGATCTAGCCAAATGACTGCCTTCGATCCCTAATAAGGAGTCTTTGGAGTTAACATAGGATGGTTAGAGATGCATTGTGAAACTAGATCTTTATTTGGATCAACTTGGCTGGGGATATGCTATCACATCGAGTCAGCTTCCTTGTAATGGTTGTTTAGACACTCTTCTGTCTTGTTTCCAATTGGATGGCTCATGGTTGAATCATTGAGTAATCTTTTTATCGCCTCTTGGCTCGGTCTGCATTGACATATTTGGCTTGGCTCGTATAACTTTATTTGTTAAACCAGGTGGGATAATTAACACAAATTTGTCTTTATGTTATGCTATTTAAATTCAAATTTGTTAATAACTTTTGCTATAATTAATTTTTTTGAAATTATGCATTGAATGATATGTCGTTTCAAATAAACTTCAATGTTACATAATCTAAAATTGAAGCAAAATAATGTTAAACATAAACATTATCATAAACATAAGAAAATAACTATCATTTCAATTGTTATATAGTAGAAAATAACCTCTCATACTGTTAGGGTCTATTTGGGGTAGTTACAACTGTTTGAATCAAGAAACAACAGTAAAGCAGCTATAAAAGAAGCTATTGTTCAAAAACTTGTAGTAGCCATCACAAAATTTCTTTTTTCAAAAAATTCACACATTTTTTTTTGTAGCCACCACATTTGGTGAGGTCCGATTGCAAAACACGCATTTACTGTAGTTTTTCAGACAAAACACAGGTTTTCAAAACATAAAAAGTGCGGTGTGACACCACATCACCATTGCATCGTCGCCCCAAACACACCCTTAATCTAACCTACTCACTAATATTCTTTCTTCTATTAATCTTCTCCCACTTATTTCTCTTATTGTTCTTTGCACCATCGGTCCGACGTTGATATCTCATCTACCTATCTTTTTATCACCTTATGAATAATATTTTGTCTAGAGTCATCTGTCAGCGATAAATATTCATGTCATAAGAGAATAAAGTTGTAGGATATACCATTAAATTATTTACAACTCAATAATTTCATGGTATATTTATTATTTATAAAATTTACATCAGATGTATTTATAACGAAAAGCAAAAGTAGTTTTTTGTTGTTGTAAATTTTGTATTTAAGTGAAAATTTGAAAAAAAAAATGTTAGATTTATAAATAGTGAAGTTTATGCTGCTATGTATATAATTGTCAGTATTTTACAAATATATCCGACAACACTTTTGTAATTACTGCCTGCCCGTACATCTCAACCACAGTAAGAATGATGTAACTCACAAAAGCGGAAAACGATTATTAGGAGATGGCAGTGAAAATTCTAGAAAGCCAGGGTTAAAAATGTAAAATTTCTTTAATTAATATGCCGAATATATTTATTTCTCCACCTGCTGGAATTTAGAATGACCGGTGGAGTGAGAAGAGTGGGAAGCCATTGGACGACCTGAGCATGATGAAGATCGTGCATGCATATCGAGCTTTCTTTATTCCTCATCTCTGATCTCTTCGGGAGCGAAGTCAGCTGTGTTTCTCGCTTGCATGAAGGTGCCGTTCTTCGTTTCTCGCCCAATCAATCTGTGACTGTGATCCTCGCCACCCACCGGAGGAGAGGCAGCCAACCGGCGTTGGAGTTGGGGAAGCTCCGACGAGGTTCAGGGTTAGGTCCGTGAACTTCGAAAGGAGAAGGGGTCTTCGCAGGGCTAAGAAGTTTGAGGGTGGACCCAGGGAAGGGAAAGCTAGCTATCTCGGTAGCTTGCAAACCGAGCTAGCATTTGTGGGGGTTTCTTAAAGTTTGTTTGCTGGTGCGTAGTTAGGGTTCGGAAGTAGTCGGTGTTGTGGTGGGAGATTTGATCCGTGGAAGAAGGGATTGGGGGTGGAAGGGATGTCGACGAAGCGATGCATGAACGGCGGTTGTGGTGCTACGGCGGCGGCCGGAGTATGGAGGAAGGGTTGGTTGCTGAGATCGGGTGGATTCGCCACGCTTTGCGATAAGTGCGGGTAGATAATCGTTCTTTTTATTAAATTTTTTTGTGGATTGGGAAAATGTCTTGATTATGATCATGCATTTTTTGGTTTGTGTAGATTTTTTCTGGGTGCGTTGGGTCTTGGGTTAGATTGATCGGGATTCCATTTTTAAACAATTTCTGCTGTATTTCATTTGTGTCTTCCACGTCACGTTCTTTTTTGTGTTGGCGACGTATTGAATCTGGGCTTGTTCGTATTTAGAAATTTGCGCTTTATTTTATTTACAGATTTTGAAGTTTTGAGTTGCGATTATCAACGATCCCTGTTTCTGATTCTGTACTCAGCACTGATTTCATGTACTGATGTGTTCTAAGATACTTGTTCGTTGTGCGGCGTCCTGTTATACTTTTGCAGTGATTTTTCGCTGGTTGATAGAAGCTCATTTAACACGTTGCATGCTGTATACAGACGCGCATATTTTGTTTTGTCTGAGTGCACCATTGTTGTGTGGTAATTTCTTATCAAAATTTTGAATCAGTGTACTCCCAAGTTTGATGTTGTAGATGATGATGATGTCTCGGTGCAATTTCTTAAAGAAAAAAAGTTGCAATTTAAACACGGGTTATATGTTTTATTAAATTTAACTTTAATGCAAGAAGGAGAGGCTTAGATAATGAAATTTGTGCATTATTTTACTGAAGTACTTGGCATCATTTGGCTGTGTTGAAGGGATGAAAGGATTCCATTTGAGATTGGACTTGAAGAACATTGATATTTTAAGGAAGGAAATTCCGTGGGCTCTTGCTCCATATGTAAAACAACCATTAATATTATGCTAGATGGTTTTGAAGGCTTTAAGTGACATCTCTTTCCTGATTGATCGAATAGTTGTGTCAACGTCCCTATTGGGGTGGCTAGTTAAGTAATGTAGGCTAATATCATTAATTGGAATGGTTGCTACAACTAATGATTCATCTACAACAATAGTGATGACTGCTATTACTTGGTTGGAGATATCAAATCTTATAACTAGGTTGCATGGATCAACTAGACCACCACCAGAGTTAACTGCAACATCCTTTGGGATGATTACATTTTTGGCGAGTTAATGTAATTTTTATTTGCTCATTAATTGATGTTCTTTTATTAGGATCAAACAAACTCAAAGGGAGGACTTATGGTTGACATGATTTGGAAAGCTCCCTAATTAAACCCATTTAGAACTGAATGTAGTAAGGAAATATAAATGGAGTTTAGCCATTTTAGAGCAAGGTCGATAAGATTCATACATGTTTAAAATAATGAAGAACTTATGCTGTATAGGTGGATCATAAGTTATGCTAATTGGGTCTAACAAAAGTTGTTTAAATGTTTTTTATACTCAAAGCAACAAGACTGCTGAAAAATAGCATTTACTCAAATTTTGAATAAATCAAAGTTCAGAAAGTTATAGAATTTGAGCAAGTACCTTGAATGTTAATGCCAAATCTCCGAAAAGGAGGGGCAACAAATTAGGACAAATTTAAAGGATTCAAGATACCACTCCATGATCTACCCTATAAAGATCTCCCTATCTCCTTCACTCCCACCCACCCCCACCCTTTCCTCTTGTATTAGCAAGGATTTTCGTGTGATGAATTTATGGGTACTTTCAAGTAATGTGATAAGCATTTATATTGGAATATTTCTCATTAAATACCTTATCCAGGTTGAGAAGAGTTATCTTTTCTATTTTAAGAAAGACTTGAATTTTCTTGTAAATTTCTAATTTCTTTGTTCGGGAATTATATGATAATAAATATCACTTATAATTAGGCTTTGAATTTAATCAAATACAAAATTTACTTAGCTTTAATTTCTCAGTTATTATATCACCTTTCTTCCTTCTTTCAAATCCCACCAAATCTGAGTCCCAGTCGCAAAAAAGCCATCGACTCTCCTCTCCTTGTTTTCTAAATATAGTTTGTTCAGTCAAGAACTGGAATTTGACAGGCCTACTGCTCTGTGTCCCAGAAGACCCACAAATTCTTAAGCCATATGTGGATTATATGCTGTTATGTTTTATCACTCGTTAGTTTTTCCTTTACGGTTTCTTACTCCCTTGCTGATTGCTAAGAAATTCTCTCTTGATCTAGGTTGGCGTACGAGAGGCTAGTTTTCTGTGAAAGTTTCCACCAAAAGGAATCTGGCTGGAGGGAATGTGCCTTTTGTGGAAAGGTGCGGTTATGTTTGAATTTTACGGAGTATCATTTTCGCTCTTTGCTTTCAGTTATTAATATATCTCTTGCAGCGTCTACATTGCGGGTGCATTGCTTCGAAGTCTATGCTCGATCTGCTTGATGGTGGAGGAGTACAATGTCTTATGTGCTTGAAGAATTATGGAAATTCTTCGGTAAGTTGGTTTGTTCTACGTAATAGAATAAAACACAAATTTTTTTGCCAATAACTTTTTTGTTTATATAGAAATGAGTGAATAAAATCAACTTGGCAAAATTGCCTAAAAATATTAAAAAAAATCTATTGTTAATTTGAAGGAAAGCATCAGTCAATTTAGGTAATCCAGCTAACTGAATTTTATTGTTACCTTTTTTACAGGAAGATCCACTTATCTATTTTTATTTCTTCTTTAATTTCTTAAAAAAATTTGGATGATTATGGCAATATTCTTATGACAACGAGATCCCTAATATTAACATGCAAGTTATCTTGATAGAGTTAAAAAAAATCATTTTAACGACCTTATTATGGATTTTTATTAGTTAGAATGTCATAAAACTTCTGTGGTTCAACATATTTTTTTGCTTATTCAATAAAATATAAGTTCAAGATCTTGTTCCAGAAACAAATTAGTCAAACATTTACCACTGTGGCAATTCTATCTTTTTCAAGTATTACTTGTTGATAATGCGGATGCAAACCTCACTACGCAATAGGTGTGTCATAGGGCATATAATATAAACAAATTTATGAGTTTGTTCGGAAACTCTTTTATAGAAGGCCATTTTAAATTTTTGTTGTGTCTATTTTGTTTATCCACATAATGATAGTTATTCACTCATCACCATGAAGTATTTATTAAGAAATGCATTTATGTCGTTCTCATTGTATAGTACTTGTATCACCGTTTATATTTATATTGTAGGTCTCTCATTCATTTTTTTTCAGTTGTCATTCTTTATTCTATGGTTCTTGTATTACCATTGTGGCTCTCCTAGGTTAATAAAATTTGCTCTAGCTACATAATGTATAATTTGTAAGTATTTTCCTTTTTTCATTGGCGAATGTAATGAAGCATGCATGCATTTTTGTACTTAGAACTTTTACGATTATATTTTTGTTAGTTCTTTCATTGTCTAATATATGCTTATTGCATCCACATTATATCTCTTATTTGTTTAATTTTAACTTTGCTTTGGATGCTTTGGTGTATAATTTGGCAATACTATAATTTTGACTTATTCACGAACATGCATCATCTTGATATTAAAAACAACTTGGTTATGATAAAAAGAAAATAAATGTTTGGTTAATGGCATTGCACAAAAGCTTTTGTAAATTCTTCTAATTCAACCAAAACAAATTAAGCACAATGCATAAAACATAATTAGAAGCGCACACAAGATTTTAATGATGTTTGAGATATATAACGCCAGATGTGTGAGTGGGTAAACTTTTGAGCGCAAAATATAGCTTCACTTAAAAACCATAACATTTGCCATGAAATCACATCAATCAAGAACAAATATTTGAATTTAATGTGAAGGAATATAGAAGCAATCATATGAAAGAGGAGTAACGTGTCAAAATAGTCTCTCGATTGTTTGTATGGGGACATTTTGGTACTATAGTCTATAAAATTGTCAAATTTGTCTACTGATTCTTTAAATTGGGGCTAAAATAGTCTTCCATGGGGACTACTATTTTGGCTTATATTAAAATAATTTGAGGAATAAATTGACACTTTTGTTGACTTTGGGACTAAAATCACTCCCTGCAAGGAATCGGGGGACTTTTTTGATACTTTTCTCTATGAAAGAACCAAAAATGTGCAACTTGATAATTTTATCGTTAGACACTTACAATTGTGGTTTGACACCTATCATCTACATCTATGCCCTTCATATTGGAAAATGCACCAACCCTCTTTTGCCTTGATAGCTGAAGAAGCCTTGCACACTTCCTTACTCTTTAAAAATTAGCAAGTGGAACCACTCACTTATATCCTTAAGGCCTCGGAGAACCCACTTCTTGGTTATTCTCTAAGAAACCCACCGAATTCTCCTTTATAATGAGTACAAAGTACAAGTCGACATCAAAGAGAACTCTCTAGCCCTTAATAGATTTCTGAGAAAACAAGCAAGAAACTCTGGAAACTGAGAAGTGAGGAGTTTGGAGACTTTATAATGACTCATAGAAAACCATCCTAGTGATACTAACATATAAGCTCTCTTCCTTTCATATTCCAATATATCTTAACAACCCAAAAAATGATTCTTTTTTTATATATTTTTTATGGGATAAAGTTATGGCATAAATGGATCCTAAAAACTTGTATAAAGGTCGAACTTGCCGTTAAATACACCGATTGTTATCGTTTCTGTTGCAATGTATTCATCACGTCGCATGGGCTTATATGTCATGGGCATGTTCTAGAGAACAGCATTTTTTGTGCAAAAAAATTTGGGCATTTTGCACGGTGCTTTAAAATTTTGAAATTATAACCATAATATTATAATTTTTTTATATATGAATTTGAAATGCTGAGAATCGATAAGAAAATTTCATGAAAAAATAGTAACTTTAGTTCTAATTAAACTTAAAATTTGATAAATATTTCAAGAATTTGATTTTTTCAAGTTTTTGCCATTTCTCAAAATAAATTGAAAAATATAAATTAACTTTCAAAACTCATGGAATCTGAAACACGAGAATAATTTGCTGTATTTCTTGTACTCCAATTGACTTGTGGCCAACTTAAACATAATAAATAAACAAGTCAAAATAAATATGGCATATAGTTATAAAATCATAAAACTGTAAAATCCATGACTAAAGTAAAAACTCATATAACTTGGCGGTTTATGAGTATAGTAGGCAGTACTAAAGAAACAGTTGACTTCAACTCTGCTATATATATTGCAACCTAAATGCCTAAACTAGGCACTTGAGCTTGAATTTCCTTATAGATTTTATCTTAATTTATTGACCATTTTAAGCTTGTCTAAAGCTTGCATACTCTTACAGCTTTGCTTAGCACAAATTCATGAACTTCATGGTTAGCCACTTGATTAGCAAACATATGAACACATAGCCAAACCACTTTACTACTCTAGTGAATATTTTTCTATCATTAAATCACTATTAAGCTTATTGGATAACTTAATAATCTAATTCAGCTCGTTAGGACACATTCTCCTCCTATTTGGTGATAATAAATTGATGTTGGGACGAGGGAAAATAATATAAACATGTAAATATAACTCTCTCATTAGATGCTATATCTAAGAATAAACTCAAGAGAATGTGCCTAACAACATACAAACATGCCTTGTTAATATGAACTAAAAAAAATCCCCCCCCTTTGGCAACATGAAATGAGGTTAGATCTTGATTTAAGTTGTTGGTGATACCAAAAACCGAAGTACCAATTGTTGAATATTTGGATTGTTTGTTAGAATATGAGGCATGTAGCAATAACAAATTGAAGTACTGAATGTTGAAAAGTAGATAAAAAGACCGTGTTCTAGAATGGTCGAGAGCTTTAGGTGTGATTTTGGATGGATGTGAGGTTTAATTTCGGTGGTGGTTGATTCAAGAGGATTCTGGGAATACAGAGGGAGGTGTAAAAAAGTTGAGAAAAGTAGCTTAAGAGAATAATTAGTAAATAGAAAAAGGAATAAAGTTGACTATATTGTCTTGTAAAAGAAAAGACAAAATTATAGTCACCAAGCCAAAGAAAATTTTTCATTCAAAATATATTGTAGGGTACCAAGTAGTCTGGTTGGTAAGGACCATGGAAGTTTGTGCCATTACATTGGGTTTGATTCTGACCTATATAATAATAAACTACCTACTTGCAGACTTTCTGGCTAGAAAAAAAAAAAAAAAAAACGTAGATTGAAAGCTACCATGGAATCCTTATTGTTGGAAAAAACATGGAAAGATACCAAATATTGAATGTTGATCATAGTTTTTTGGTAATGTATACCAATTGTTAGCAAACACTAAGGGGAAAAAAAACTTGCATGTGATAAGATCAAAAGATCATGACCCCTAATATAAATATTTATCAAATTAAATTATGAGAGTTATCATGATACAAAAGTCTAGTTAACCAGTCTTGCTTATATCAAAAGTTAGAATAAATCTCCATCTTTTCCTCCTTCGTTTGAGTGGGCTGAGGACATCAAGAAACCTGTTAGGAAGAATGAGAAGTCTGTCATATTTTTTACAGAAGCTGAAGGTATTCGACTTGCTTATTCTTGTGGTCTGAATTTGATTGAGAAATTTCTATATAATCATCCCAAAATGGAGCTCATTCGCAAAGAATTTGAACTTATGCACCTTGTTGGAGAGTGGAAAATTGGACTATTAGATGTGAGACACATTCTTATTCAAATTAGTAATGAAGATAATTACATGCGTTTATTTGCTAGAACGATAATATGAATTGATAACAGAGCAATGGAGATTCTGAAATGGTCTGCGAATTTTGACCCACAGACGTAACTACCAATCATTTCAGTTTGGATTCGTCTCCCTGGTCTGAAATTTCATTATTTTTCTCAAAAAATATTGTATTTTATTGTCTTAGCTTATGAAAAATCACTCAAGACGGACATTCCTACTTTTAATATTTCCCGTCTATTTAAAGCCAGAATACTTGTTGAAAGAGACATCACTACACCCGCTTCTGAGGAAATCTGATTGGGCACACAACACCAAAGATATTGACAGAAGGTAGATTGAGTCTTTTCCTCCGTATCGTTCGAACTGTCATATGTTCGGACACTCCTGTTCTCAATGTTATCATCTACACCCCCACCTCAGACCAAAAAAGCAAACTGCTCCGCTAGAGGCTGTGATTCCATCTCCTCCGGATCAGCTCCAAGACTTTGACACTATTGATCATTAGAAGGATACCCCGGAAGACGTCAATTTCCCCGCAGATAATATGTCAACTATTCAGTCCCCACTTATAGCTCCCCCGTCTTTGGAACTTTCTATCGTGGGGGAAAGAGAGATTCTCCAGACCCAGCCTACCTTAGAACCTATCACCGATAATACAGGTGGAAATGCTTCGACTGTTTCACTACTATCTCATCAGGTCCAAAAAGATGTTAGTATTACTCAGACTCATGGGGATCATGATGTGCAACGACCTACAACTGT